AAGTCGCTAGAGACACGTTGCGACCGTAAGTAAGTTCGATGGATTTGGGATTTAACCATGTCTAAGTCCAACCCGGCCTTGTATCTGAATCTCCAAAGCACATTTTTAGATGACCACTTCACTCATATCGAACACGGTTGACAAGAGTGCCAATCTCAGAAATCTCAATCCTCATGTCATCTCCGTCATGGAGTGTGATGGGCGGGTCCCTCATCACGCCAATACCAGGACCAGTGCCCGTCATGATGATTGTGCCCTTCTCCAAAGTTGTACCCTGTGACAGAAACGAAATCATCTGTGGGATGGTAAAGATCATCTCCCTTTTCATCAAGTCAGCATTCAACTGTAACGCCCGCTCGTATCAGTGCAAGGAGTACCGAAAACTCACTTCGTGTTGGAGTCTTGGACGACCTGATCATTGTAGATGGCTTGAATCTGTAGAGAATGGGGGTCTTTAATGGCGGATTTTGCAACCAGAACAGGCCCTATGGGACAAGATCCATCCAGACCTATGTGAAATGTCAGCATCCGAATCCTGAAGTGAGCGACTTGCCCTTCATGAATGTCCCATTCGCAGACTCTTCACAGCTCACCTTTCGAAAAAGACCACTGGCTGTTCTTGAACTGCTGCTTCCGGGCGCTGACGTCGTTGCTACAAGTATACCCAAGCACGTATTCCATAGCCTCTTCCTCTGGGATATCACGGCCAGACTTTGAGAGAACCAGAGAAAGCTCGGCCTCGTAGTCGCTCGACCCGTCCTGAGAAATCTTGGGAATGTTGATCGTGGATGGGTGCGGGCCAGTCAAAGCTGTCCTCGGCTTGATGAAGAGGACGGGGACCTCGGGGATGGGCATATTGGCTTCCTTGGCGTGGTCGCGGTAGTTGAGTCCCATGCATCGGATGATTGGGACTTGGTCGGCGGTGACGGGTGATAGAAGCTAGCGGTCGTTTACAATCTTCTCAGTAAACATGCAAAACAAGTAACCACAGATGGTAAGATATAGCGGAACTTACGTGTTCAATGTGCAAGACATCTTCTGTGACACGCCCATCAAAAACATCTCCAACTACGACGTTGGCTTTGACCTTCTGGCCTTCCAGTGTCGCTAGGCCCACATCAGGATACTGGCTGGCGTCGATCTGGCCTAGGTGTATCTCATTGTCTTCTTCAGCGACGAAGCGCACCAAGTGTGTCCACGAAGGGCTCATCTTATATCGTGGTGTTATGGTAGGTCGTGATTGTGAGGCTCTGGCTTGAAGCTGTGAATGGCTACGAAGACTGGTACTCGAATGAAGAAGGTTTATGGTGAGATGAATTGATTCCCGATATTCAAAATGCGCAAAGTACACAGCCTATTTCCCATGTCACAACCTATTTCTCGTTGATTCGTATTAGACCGGTATGTGGGATTGAGACAGATCTGCATAGAATCAGTCCGTCCGTCGCACTGCAGCCCAAACTAGTTTAGCATTTGACCGGAAACACAGGGATTTATTCCTTTTCACTGGGTAATTCTACTGTGAAAGACGGAAGGACGCACACAGTTGCATACTATACTCGGTCGACCTGGAGTAGAAATACGTCAAGCCAGCCTAGCCCGGCGGCAGTCACGCCTTGTGAAAAGAACCTCAAGCAACCATATCACGACTTCGAAGAAGATCGATTCCAGAATTCAACGCTGACTGCCTTGGAGGCTTAAATCTATCCTCGATCTGACAAGGGGTATCACGCACTCATTACAATAAGGTAGACATGAAGAAGCTCAGCTCCGGGTCACCCTCCGGAAACCCGGCAAACTCATCCGAAGCATTGAGACCGGGAATCCCTAATCCATCTGTAGTACCCTCCGCGCCATCTTGCTGCCCGTCAACAAACCAGTTGGCATGGGCGGTTGAAGCGTTACGCGGCGACATTGGTGTGGGCACGTCTTGGCCTTGGTGTCCCGGCCCTACGGATGTGAACAAAAAGTTCTGGTCCAGCTCAGGTCCCATCATGAGACCAAAGTTCTGCAATGAACTCGTTCCGTTGAAGGCGGAGGTATGATGTCCAGCGTGTTGATATGATGCGCAGCCTAGCATGTGAGTCGCTTCAATCGCCGCAATCTCTGCCTTTTTCTGTGCTAGCCGTTCCTCCAACGAATCAAGATTTTGTAAGAGACTTTCAGGCGTTCCCCAAAAGTCGGTATATTTCTGACATACTGCACGGAGCTCCTTGATCTTCATCTCTGATGCCTCGTTACACGTCGACGGTGCAAACACTTTGCGGAGAACCTGTAATGAGGCGGCGAGCCATACCGTGCTCGCCAAGAATGGGTTCGTCCATTGTATGTGTGTTTCTGATGAGCGGCTGACGATGGAATGAATGTCGTCTGATGCCTCGAGGCAGTTCCGGAGGCCTTCTGAGTTGGACAGCCTCTCCTTTTCATCCTTGGATGACGATGTCCACCCAAATGAAGGAGGACTGTCTGTTTCTGAGAAAATTGTGCCTAGTAAGATCTCGTTAAATGCGAAATGGTGGTAGATCATGAATCGTGCTAGCTGGATCATGAGGTAGATTGCGTGCTGTGAAGCATTCGAACGTCTCTCGGATGGCAGCTGAGGGCAATCGCTGCTCGACGAAGTACCCGTGGACTTGAAGTCCAGTTGAGCCCCTTGGTATGTGAGTGATCTTGGTAGTAGCGCGACAGTCTGCTTGAGAGCTCCGATGAGAACGGGTAGCTGTTGCCCATCTTCTGCCGACTGCCTTTTGCGGAATGATCCGTGGAGATACTGCTTGAGAGGCCGAGAATCGGCTCCCGGTGCGGGACTGAGGTCCGAAAGCACACTGTGAAGATTGCCGCGAGCCAGAACCTGAGCGTTACGCATGATAGAATTGAGAACGATGAACCACGCGACATCGCTGGTGTTCCCAGACTTGCTCAGCTTCTTCGCCCGCTCCAATGGAGCAGGATCAAGCGGACAGCTCGGTTGGTACATGTTTTGAAACCACATCACGTCTGGCACCGGGAGGTGATTCTCGTTCATGCCTACGCTCTGGTCAATCGCGGTGGGCAATCTGTGCACCGTCGAGGCGAATATGTCCATCTGCCAGATGGCCCACCAGCTGCGGCGCCTCTCCTCCATCGCCGACCATTGAGCGACGCCAGACGTTCCTGGCTGAGGTCTGGCTTGCGTGATGCTGTCAACAAGATGAAGTCGTTGCTCGTAGGCGATTCTGACGCAGTTGCCCAGCATTCGCCATGCGCGACCGCGGACGCCTCTTGTGAGCTCATAGAAGGTGCATAATATGAGAGCCTGGAGGATGCAAAGTGGCGGGGGCTTGTCGTCGTATTTTTCGATTGCCTCGTTGACGAAACCCATTGCCGATTTGTGTAGTTGCTCATGGCTTGGGCCGCTGTAGGCTTCCATTGTTGGCGGAGACTCTGCATCGGGAGCTGTGGCGAAACGAGCTGAGAAGGAGAACATTGATGCCAATAGCGCCTTGAGGTGAAGTGCATTCTTGATTCCCTGGACCTTGTCTCCGAATGAAGGTTGATGGAAGAGTGAGAATGCAGTCATGTTGTCGAAATATGCGTCGGTCCTGAAGTAGATGTTAGTGACCAGGCGAAGCCGCCTACATCAATTAGTGAAAGCCTGATCTTCTCACAATGTTTGCAGCGATGCGATTGACAAGTCTAGCGACTCGCATACCTGCTGCAATGTGTTTTGAGCGCCGGCAAGTTGCAAGAAGAAGCCGCGACGGTTCGGCGAGGGGACACTTGAAGGGGGCGTCAAGTTTACGTCGTGAGATGGATGGACAAGGGCGGACAAGCTGATGGCGCGAACGAAGCGCGTATCGGAAATGTACGAAGAATCCGAGTGAAGACTGGCCAAGTCATCGTGGTCTGTAAGCCCCGTAGAAAGGAAGTCAAGGAGTTGTGGTTCAACGGCGGGCAGTGATCTCGAGCAGACTTCCGGTCTCACGGAGGAGGCGTCGTCCTCCGCCTCGACATGCTGTTCTTCGTCAACATGAGCGAGACTGCTGCTTAATCGCCGCCGCTTACGATGTCGTGAGCCTTGGTAGTTCGCTGTCAGCCGGCTCAGACATGGAGCTCAATTTACAGTGCTAGTGCGGTACCTGTCTTTGGGCCTGGTTTTAGTCGCGTTGATGGATAATCGCACGCCTGGGAATTCCTCTCGCAGAGTGTACAGCTTGGTAAAAGACGATCACTGGTATTGTTAGACCATACGGATACATGCAGGTGAGCGCTGGAAGAGAGTAAAAGCTAAAGCATGAAATGACCCACCATTTTGCTTTCCTCCTAAATTCCCAATCAGGGAAATGTCAGTCAATGGTGGTGCTGTAAACATGGGCGAAGAGACAGACGATCTCTCTCACCTCTTGCATGATTTGCAAGCAAGATCTGATATCTCGCCCTCCTGAGTGACGCCCTCCTGAGTACGGCTCGGAGATGGCACTCCCGTATCTCTATCACCATCAGATACCATGGTCAAGTAGGTCACTGAAGGCCAAGCAACTGTGTAGGAAGTCAAGATCGTGTGCATTCAACCAGTCTGGAAGGGGGTCCGTAGGGGACGCGATCTTGTTTGGTGCTTTTGCGGCACCTATGGTGGGTCAGCCAGTTTCACAAAGCCCCCCAATAAGTGCTGCAAAATGACGTGGAAAGCTCCGCTGCCACTCATACCGGCTGGGGCCGCGGCTGGACCGGGTTGCGGGGAACAAGACCCCATAGTTGTCCGGATCCTGGCCCCAAAGCCAAGCCCGTTCTGGCATCTGGCATCTTGCAAATCCGGGGAAAGCTGCTAGACGTTGGGGGGCAGCTCAACGGCCAAGGGCCAAGGACCATTCCGAATCTCACGCTATAACGAATAAGAATATGGCAAGACATGTTGGTTGGTAGATGAGAAACGCGGGGTTCCCGTAGGAGCCGGTTCCCCGCCCCCGGACTGATTCTCTCACAGTATGTACCCCGCCGGACAAATTTCGTTCAGGAACACCATGCCTTTGACAGATGGAGATTCGTCCGGGTCCAATCAGTGTAAGAGCATTGCTAACGAGGTTGTAGATGTTAACTTCACGGGTGTTGGTCGACACCAGAGGTGTAGGGTAGTATGGATGGGCGTGTACAAAAGCAATGGAGGCTACTCGTTCCAATGATGAAGTAGCTTAGTAGATATCTTGAAATTGATTGAGATGTGGCAACTTGCAATTATAACTCTCATTTTCGGCGTCTTGCTGCATAAGACTTTGCAGATAGGAAAACGAGATCCGCGGATGCCACCTGGACCACCTACACTGCCAGTCCTCGGAAACTCTCATCAGATCCCCAGAACAGGGCTTTACAAGCAGTGAGTAAACCTGTATCCTATTTCAGTCAAATATTATTACTTCATGGGACGCGTGAGCTGAGAATATTCAACGGTCTAGGTTGCGAGAATGGGCACTTCAATACGGGTCAATTTTCTCCTTGAAAGTTGGACCATCCTCGATCATCGTCCTGTGTGACCGTGAGGCTATCCATAAGCTTCTCGTAGAGAAAGGCAGCATTTACTCCGATCGACCTCCTAGTTATGTGGGGAGATTACTCACACACGGTGACCACCTCGCTCTCGAGCAGATGGACACCACGTGGCGGTCTAAACGCAAGGTGATTTCGCACAACTTCTCTCCAAAGAGGCTTGACGAGCAACACTTTCGAGTTCAAGAGGCAGAGTAAGCTACCAACAGACATCAGACTCTCTTTTCTGAGTTGTCTTTTCATGGTTGCTGACATGTTTGTGAAAGGGCCACGGTTTTAATGACTCGCCTTTTAGACAAACCTGAGGGGTTCTTCAACGAGATCCGTAGGTACACTGCTTCAGTGGTAACATCCATCACATACGGCTTTAGAGCACCCGATATGAATTCTTTTTGGGGACATGTAAGCTATTTCAATCAATGTAGTGACGCTTAGCTTGGCCCCTTTTCGTTGTGAAGTCCGAGCTAATATACAGATCTAGGGAGTCTACGATGTAATGGAAAAGGTGAGATCAAGTTTGCATGGCACACAGGCAGACATCAGTGTACTAACGTGAACCCTCATAGTGGACAGCATCGATGGAGCCTGGAGCCGCCCCTCCGGTAGACGTCTTCACCTTCCTGCGATACATCCCCTCCTCAATGGCCTTCTGGAAACGCCGCGCACTCGACGCCGGTAAGACAATGGACGCGACCTGGTCCAAAGCACGTCGACTCGTCGAAGAGCGTCGCACGCGCGGAGAGAGACGAAACTGCATCATCGACGGCCTGCTTGACGAGTACGAAGAGAGGGGTTGGCCCGAACAGATCAGCCAGCACGCCTTCACCAATCTCATGGGGGAAATCATCGAGGGTGGTGCCGACACCACTGCCGCGCAACTTTTGACTCTGGTCCTCGCTTTTGCGCTGCACCCTGATGTCCAGAGGAAAGCACAGGTTGAGATTGATGAGGCTTGTGGGAGTGGTCGGTCTCCTCGCTGGGATGACTTTTCGGAGCTACCTTATGTGAACTGCATCGTTAAGGAGGGTATGCGCTGGCGTCCGGTGTAAGTCTTCTCGCCACTTTGTCATCTCTCGTGGAAGCATTTATAGAACTAATCATACGGAAACATCCAGTGCTGTCACTGCCCTTCCGCACAAAGTTCGCCAAGGTTCGTTCATGATACCGGACACCTCATTTTCCAACCAACAGTAGTACTAACGAGAACGTGTCTAAAGATGATGAATACAATGGCATGTTGATCCCAAAAGACTCAACAATCTTCATACCCACCTGGGCCCTCCATCACACCGAAGAAAACTACCCCGACGCAGAGCGATTCGATCCGGACAGGTACCTCAAGCACCCCAAGCTAGCCAACGACTACGCAGGCAGCCCGGAGTGGGAGAACAGAGACCACTACAACTACGGCGCCGGCCGCCGCATCTGTCCCGGCATCCACCTCGCGGAGCGCAACATGTGGCGTATCGCCTCCAAGCTTCTTTGGGCCTTCGAGTTTGCTGAGCCAGTGGACCCTGTCACAGGCAAGGTTGTGCTTTTGGATCCGCATGCGTATAATCCTGGGATTTTGCAGGCGCCTTTGGAGTTTCATGTTCGGATTACACCGAGGAGTCAGTCTCATATTGAGACGATCCGACGGGAGTTCAAGGAGGCTGAGGCGTTATTGGCTCAGTATGACTGACTTGATCATAAGAGACTTAAATTGGCGGTTAGGCCTGTTGGCTCCGACGATGCCAGTGTGACTTCTAGACTTAGCAAAGGATACGGGTAACAAGCCATGCTGTAGAGGAATGACAAATGTGAACTGCCATTCCTCTACCTTGCCGCCAGTCGATCTAGATATCGTTTCGCTCCATTACTGTATGTTGGTCTAATCAGCGCTTTTGTACTCCCCTGCGCCTCTTTCATCTTCAAACGAAATGTCAGCAAGAAGTACACTCTTATAAAAGGGTCAATGACTACATGTACGGGAGTCTTCGATCCCAAAAATTCAAGGTGCTCGCGAAAGCTCCCCAAAAGCAGCGGCTGCAAAAACCGGGAATGATTATGGGACCTTTCGTAGCCATCGTGAGGATTGAGTAGCAACTTCCAGCCACCCGGTTCCAATTTCTGTCACCACTTCCGCTTCCCTATCTACATTTGATTCATTGCAGGATAAGCTTTGACACGTAAGTGGACAGCCAAGACATAAGAAGGTTGAAAGCTGCAAGTGGCCAAACCGCAGGATGCTCATGTCGCACATGTTGGAAAAGAGCGAGTTTCACCAGCTGATCGAAGTCAATCCAGGCCACAACGACCACCAGAAAACTCGTGGAGAAAAGATTGTGGTCTTCTGATGAGACACTAGAATCCAGAGAATACGGGGAGCAATGTATAAGTAGATCTGACAAGTCTAACTCAAGTATGTCTATGGCACTAAAACTCCATCATGCATCAACACGAAGCAGGACGGTCTTCATCACCAGCAGGAGCTTCTGGAAACACGAGTCCAAGTCAGCAGATACCTCACTCTGTCTCCAAGCCACAAAGCGATCCGGTCGAACTAGAACAACACCCGACTCCTCAACCCCCTGAACGCGCTCCCACTCATAGTAAACGTCCTCCCAATCCTGGCGGAAACCAATGGAGTAGACCCTGATCTCGCAACCCAGCTTCGCCGAAACCGCAGCAGCCGCTTCGCGCCAAAGACTCCCGCCGGGACCGGTGAAGATGGTAAAGCCACCTTTGCCAGCCAAATCAATAGTTGAAACGGGCTCCTTCGGTACCGCCCTATTTAGCCATACATGAGGAATTCGTCGGCCAGGATAAGTACAAGGACCGTAATACGTAACAGGATCCTCAGCTTCCTGCGTTGAAGGCGCATACGGCCCACTTTCATCCTCCGCATAGATCGCCGGCCCTGAGTAAACCTGGTTCATCTCAACGCCAAGCCCATGAAACTCGTGCGCCGTCCGGCCAATCGCCTCGCGGAACGCGCGACGCTTCTCCCGCCCCTCTCTCGTCGTGTACGAGAGCTGCGCAAAGACAGCGGCGCGTTCTTCCGCCGTCTTCTCCAGCATGCCCAGGGACTGCCACACGGCGTAGTGGTCCCGGAAGGCTTCGTTGGCGCGGGCAACGATCCCGAGACCGACGGGCTGCCGTTCGACGCTGTAGGTTTCGAGGAGGGCGGCACCGGCAAGGCCCTTTTCGACGTGGGCGATTTTCCAGGCTAGGTTGAAGGCGTCTTGGATGCAGGTGTTTGAGCCGAGGCCGTTCATCGGGGGGTGGCGGTGGACTGCGTCGCCGAGGCAGAATCTGATTTTTCGTTAGCTTTGTGCCATGGCGATGGATGTACGAGGATGAAAGGTCCGTCGGGGGCTTACTTACATGTTCCCTTCCGAGTATCTCTCGGCAACAATATCGTTGACGAACCACTTCGAGACAGAAAGGACCTCGACTTCAGTATCGTCCCCGATGAATTCTTTGACCCGCTTCTTGTACGCCTCTTCAGTCACCTCGGCCGACGGGTCAAAGCCCTTGTCCGGAAACAGGATGAACATCCACTCGAACCACGGCTTCACCATCCTCGCGATGCCCATCCAGCCGAAGCTGGGATGGTCTACCCCGGGCTGCATCAACCAGTGCAAGTTGCCCTTTCGGTGGTCCATTAGATGAGAGAGGTCGGCCTTGACGAGAACGTTGATGGCCAGGCCTCCGCCAGGCTTTGCTACCAGAGGTAGTTGGAGTGTCTTTGCGACGAGACTTCGAGCACCGTCTGCGCCAAAGATGTATTTTGTCCGTATGGAGTAGTGGGTCTTGGAAACCATGTCCCAGACGGTGGCCAAGTACCTCCCTTCGGGAGAAGATTCCCTGCTCCAGGTTACGAGCTTGGTGTTGAATCTCACGACAAAGCCGTGGTGTGCTGCGTATCGAACCAAGATCGGTTCTAATGCGGTTTGTGGTATGTCGACGGGGTCGCAGGGGCTCGCGAGTTCGTAGTCACCCTCAAGTGAAGTGAGCTTCTGAGATCTTTGCCTGGTACGGACCTGAGCGTGAAGTGTTGAATAGTTACCTTTCTTCTGGGGTCACTTCCCCATGAAGGGATACGCGCAAACTCCTCACCCGCCATGCTATAACACCAACGCGTGTGTTGCATGCAATGACCCTGTGTCGCAATCGCTTGAAGCTCTCTGTCCAAACCAATATCACGGAGACACTCTGAAGACATGTCAAAAAGTTTTCGTGGTGAACATCGGAAAGAAGCGGTCAGAGACCAGCGGAAGCTAGAACATACCCAGAGCTGCCATGTTTGTGATATGAGCTCGCGGTGTATCTGCGGTCGAGGGGCTTGCGCTGATCATGATTCCCTTGAGTCCTAGGTCAAGATACATATCAGCCTAAGGTAGCTCCCATCGAGAACCAATCGCACTCAGAACGAACCGTATGATGCGAGGAAACAAGCCAGTGAGGCCCCGGCAGGACCTGCGCCGATGATGAGCATGTCAGTCTCGAGAGCTGCGGAATCACTGCTGCCCTCATGAGATTGAGTATCTGCCTTTGGAGGCACCGGCGCCGGACCATGGCTCCCACTGGCCGTCGTTGATGCGACGGTCTCCGAAATCGTCATCTTTAGAGACCCCGAATGATTTTCAATTGCGACTGTTGTTTAAGAGCTTGCCGCCGAAGAAATGTTCTCACGAATAGATGACAACGATCGAATTTCGTCATATACGAAAGAAGAACTCGGCCGGTTATCTCGCAGCATCAAAGCGTCGTAAATCCGAATGAAACGATACATGGTGAGTATTTCCGTTCCGCGGACAGATGTGACGGGCTATTATTCTTTGGCTTGATTGCGTTGCGTCGGGGTAATTTTCTCCAAGACAAGAGGGAGTCGGGCACGGTCTTTGACGATGCTGCTCCGGTCTACCTCGGATAAACACTACGGCAGTGCAAACATTTTTATCAGAAAGCATGATAAAACTCGAATAGCTCAGACTTGTAGCCAAAATGCCAAGATTCAAGTTTTCAAGTGTTCCTTTACCTCCAAGTGTATATCGTGTCAATATCCGACCAGGAACAAGTTATTCCCACCTCCAAAGACCCAACCAAGCTTCAACTACCTTACAACAGCAAAGATGACCGCTCCACCCCGCAAAATCAACCTCGTGCGAATAGCACACATAAACTATACCTACCAAAATCTTGGACGAGCCGAAGCCTTCTTCCGCGACTTTGGCTTCGTAGAGGCCTCTCGCGAGGGCACTCGCGTATACTACCGGGGCTACGGGCCCGAACCCTTCGTCCTCTGCGCCGAAGCCGGTGTCAAAGACGGCTTCGGCGGCGCGGCCTTTGTCGTTGAGTCCGAGGAGGATCTTGAGTATGCGTCCAAGACGCTCCCCGGGGCTTCGGAGCCGTACGAGTTGAGCAAGGCTCCTGGTGGAGGCCGGTGCGTGACGTTCGAGGGCGGTGTTGATAAGTTTCCCTTTCACCTTGTTTTAGGGCAGGTGATTCGTGAGAAGGCGACGGTTTTTCCGGAGCGAGACTTCAATTTTGTATGTATAGACGTGTTTCTGCTGTCATTCTTGTCTTGTGATGGTGTAGCAAGATGTCTGACTACAATGACAGCCGACTGAGAAGCACAGAGAGGCGGGCACATTTCAGCGGTTTGATAAAGGTAAGTCGAGATCTCAACGTGTTTTTGGTCAATTCAACTTACAAGTCTATTGGTCCGGCACCGGTGCACAAACTGGGACACTTTGGCGCGTGCGTGACGGATTTTCAGCAAACGTACGACTTCTTCACGACTCGGTTCAACTTCATCCCCAGCGACGTAAGTCAAACACACTCCCTGACTTGATCCCCTCCTATCATTCTGGTACCCGAGAAAAATTTACTCACGAGAGAGTGCAGCTCGTGCACGACGAAACCGGACGCAACGTCACAGTCTTCCTACGGCTCGACCGCGGCGAAGAACTCGTAGACCACCACTCCTTCTTCTTCTTTGAGGGCCCAAAGTTCCATGTCCATCACGCCTCCTTTGAGACCCACGACTCGGATCTGCAGTTCCTCGGGCATGACTGGCTTCGCGAGCGGGGGTATGAGAATTGCTGGGGCGTTGGGCGGCATGTCATGGGGAGTCAAATCTTTGATTATTGGTGAGTTTACTTCCTCTTTGCCATTTCCGAGGGGAGTTTGGGCATGCTTGGGTGGCATTACTTCCGTCCGGCTGACAAAAATATTTACGTAGGTTCGACCCTAGCAAGTTCATCTTTGAGCACTACGTCGACGGCGATCAAATGAATAGTTCTCATCCGCCGAATCATTCCAAGGCGTCTCCTGATAGCCTTCACATCTGGGGTAAGTGTCCCTTCTCATAGAAGAGGTTTAACTGATGTCGATCTAACTTAACGATTTGCCGCAGGGCCTGATCTCCCGGAGGGATTCTTACTTTGAGATTTCTGGGGCCGGGTAAGATTTGGACATTCAAGTGGAAGAGAAGACTTAGAAGATAATTACTTCTGTAGAGTACACCTTGTTCTAGACATAAGAGTTGTCGTGAAGTTCACTGTACAGCCTTCACTAGAATATGCTCTATCAAACACTATTTAAAACCGAATTCATGGTATCGTACAAACAGACGTTTCGCCCAAATTAGCGAGGTTTGACACTTTAGAGTCATGAGTGAAGCTTGTTTCTCAATTGTAAATATTTTGAAGAACGTATAATTGCCTACATATCTCTTACCATGCTGGCACGCTCAAGACAGCTCCTCAAGCGACAGGAGCACGGAATCAGGAAAAGTATTCCCGCAACATGCCTCATTACTAGCTCTCGTGATTCTTTCTGGCCGGCTATGTATGCGCAAAATTTACTGAATACTGTACCCGAAGTATTCCGCTAAGTAGCTGCACAAGGTCTCGAAACGTCGGACGGACTGATTTGGTGACTACACTGTTGGAGATAATCATACCGAACCGCGGGGTAAGCCCAGATGCCAACTCCAAGAGCTCTCCCCCGCACTCATTGAATGTTGGAATCTACCGTCCGAATGAGCAGCCGATGCGAAATATCTGAGAATGTGAGGGCTTTAATATGTGAAGCAGCCCGCGATGTACATGGCAGGGCTCGTCTTGCGGCAGAAAAGCTCTCGTCGACGTTGAACCCCATCTACCTAACACTTCAAACTTTTGAGCCAGAATGTCGTGCCCGTTGTTCTTCGTAGTTGCCCGTGTCGTCGGGTCAGATGGCTCCCTGGAGAAAGTAAGAAGCCTGCAACCTATCGCGTTGAACTCTCAAAGCCTCCAAGGCACTCTCACGCACCTACTCTACACACGGCTGACCCCCCTCAGTGGAAAGAAAGACTCGTAGCCCTCTGCGCCGTCTCCGCAACCGAACCCTTGGGAAACAGCTACTACTGGGGCCACGACCTCTCCGCCTCCTCCCCAGACACCCTCTGGGGCCTCGAAGGCTACACCCACCCGGCGGGCTTCTTCCTCGGCCACACCTCGACCGACGTCTTCAAGCGCGAGATGCGCCTCGCGGACGAGCAGAAGCTGCTAAAGACCGCTCAAGGCATCGGCAGCCCGGACTATGATCTGCATCACTATGACCTCGCCGGCGGCTGGTTGAAGCGGGAAGATGACCCCGGGAAGGATTCTCGTGATAGCGCGGTTGCTGTTTTGCATTTTTGGGCGGTGGAGGAGGGGGGAAGGGAGGAGGTTGTGAGGAGTTTGGAGGGGTTTGGGAAAGCGCAGAGGGGGAGGGAGGTTGGGGAGGGAGAGTTGCAGAGTTGTGCTGTTTTGAGAGAGGTTATGGATAGGAGTTTGGCGACATTGTGGTTACGGTATGTGAGTTTGTTACGAACGGCCCATCTGGGTAGTAGTTGCTCCTGGACTGGGTTGTTTTCGCTTTTCCTCTCGCTCCTACCTTATCATACTACACCGGGACATATGTTGCAAATCGCTAACACCTATTTTTCTTCTCGCCACATGTAGTGCAAAGACTCAGGAGCACCTCAAGTCTCATTTGGAGACACAAGAGTACAAGGCTTTGCTCGCAACTTTGCAGCCGTTGACCGTCCGGACAGAGACGCACCTATCGCAAGTCTTTAATGGACATATTGATCAGCCACCGACAGGGACTGAGGCGTGAAAAGGGTCAAGTCAACCAGCATTCTACTCTATGATCACTCGCCGACCCTGGGTTGTAGGGTGTTGGAGAACCGCAGTAAACTCATAGTGTGATAGTGGAGTTGCCATTAATAAACATTATGGGGTATCAATTATCTTTCATTTTTCTTAAGCACCAAAGTCGATTCCTCATGAACTTGGCTTCGGCTGGGGCTTAGCATAAGTCGCAGGATGCCCGTGCTTCTTGCCGTAATTCCTAATTTGCCTCAACATATCGGGCAAAATAAAGATCCAGACCAAGGATGAGAGGCAGATGCCCAGCGTGTCGACAACCCAGTTGTTGCGCAGGGAACCGCCGAGACCGCTCCACCGCATCAAGCTGCCCAGCCACGCCACCGTTACAAAGTAATCCCCACGCTCGAGTCCCTTAATGGCAGCCCTAGCGACCTCGTCGGGCGACTGGACGGGGTCGAGCTCCTCGAGCTGGTGTGTGATCTGGGGCTTGGTCAAGTTCTCCTTCTCCAGGCCGGGGCTCGTGATGGTCCCGGGGAACACGACGTGGACCTTGACGTTTTGTGGGTAGAGCTCAACTTCCTGCGAGAGGGTGTCGGCCAGGCCGCGGATGGCCCACTTGGAGCCGGCGTAGGGGGCGTACCCGGCGACGGTGAAGAAGGCGACGACGCTGGTGGTCATGATGAGGTGGCGCGGCTCGGCCTCGACGGGGGCCTCGGGGGCGAGCCAGACGCGGAGGATGGCGTGAGCCATCTCGGCGGTGCCGTAAAAGTTGACGTCCATGTTCCTGCGGGTCTCGGAGAAGGGCACCTCGGTAAAGAAGCCGGTGGAGGCCATGCCGGCGATGCACCACACGACGTCCGGACTGCGGCCGCCGTTCCAGGCGGTGGCCTCGGCGAGGAGGGGCGTGGCGTAGTCTTCCTTTGTGATGTCGGCGGTGATGTAGGTGAAGCGCTGGGTGGAGGGGTTCTTGGCGGCGGATTTGCACTCGGCGAGGAGCTCTTGGAGGCGGGCGGCGTTGCGGGCGATGAGGATGAGGTTTGCGCCCTTTGCGGCGAGCTGGAGGGCGACGCTGCGGCCCATGCCCTCGGAGGCGCCGGTCAAGAGGACGGTCTGGGGAAGAGTGCGGGTGAGTATGCGTATGTGAATAAAAGGGGGGATTCAAGGAATTGAGCGTACCTTGCCATCAACGGGCATGTGATTCTTCCAGTTGAACAGACCCATTGCGGATGCGAGAAGGGCTGCTGCGAGGGCGGGCAGGGCGATCCAGAGAGCTTGCGACGCGTATTCCATACCTCTCGAGTTGGGAGAGAAGATGGCCGAGGGCGATTGGAAAAGGGGAGAGAGGGAGCCGTCGTGACTTTATGTTCCGGCTTTGTCGGTGATGAATTGCTCGAGACGCGCGAGGCGTTGTAGTTGGAGTAGCTCCTGTGCTCCCTCCCCTAAGGTAATCATTCGTAGACACGGTCCAGTAAGGTGCGTGGGTGTGCGCAGCCATTAGGATCCAGGTCCCTGTCGTTCCTGGTGGGGTAAATTGTACTTTCAAGTGGCTGCTGACGGCGTTCGTCTAGTGGAATGGTATGACAGGTTGGCCAGCTTGGGTTAGCCCTCCTGATTTCAATCTTGATTTACAGCAGTGCTGACACTTCGAAAGCTTGTTGAATTCAATACGATTTTCACCAATTGTATATTCCTGTCGCTCAATACCCAAGGTACCCATCTCAAACGGCTCTGTCAACTGAGCATGCTGACCCAGCTTGCCAGCTTGCGCCGCTAAGAAAGTACATTGTGTAACTGTGAAGTAGTCTTAGATCCTTCATATCTCGTGCAACCAGCTTGTATTCGAATTCAATTTTGGTCGGGGATTATCATGTATCCTCGAGCTTTGAGAAAAATCAAAGTCCAATTTTTTCCATTGACGAGAGCAAATGATGTGCTTGAGACGGTGATAGTTGAGTGATATGTTGCTGACTTACATCGATTTGACCGTGGGACGGCCAAGTGTGGACCCCACCGTTAGGTTGAGGCTCAAAACCAATGAGAAACATCCCTGCCGATGCATCTCCACTAAAAAGTTCTGCGCTCGACGGTGCAAGAACATTTTTCGTAGCCGTCAAAGTGCAGCAAAGAGATCCCGCCCCATCCAACGCCCGATTCTCATCACCGAAATCGACTTTCGCTCCAACCCTTCCACCCTACGCTTCGACCCCAGATCTGTTCAGTCAAATCGATCGGCCACGATGGCGAAGAAGAGAAAGGCCTCTGGCCAAAACGAGCGCACTGGCCCCAAGGACTTCGACCCCGCCGATGCCCGTCTGGGCCCCATCACCAGCTACGAAGATGTCGCCGATTCAGAAGACGAGTACTTCCTGAACCGCGACAAGATTATGTTCGACGAGGGCCCTAAATCCAAGAGGAGAAGGAAGGCCGACGAGGAGGACAAGTTCCTGGAACACTCGGACGAAGAAATCCTGGACCTCGACGACGGCGACGATTCCGACCAAGAGACCAAGAAGCCCTCCCGGAAGTCCAAGAAGGGCAAGGCTGCTGCGGCCGAGGAGGAGGTTGAGGAAGAGGGCGAAGGGGCAGAGAATGAGAACGACCCGAATTGGTGGGGTTCCTCAAAGAAGGAATACTACAATGCCGACCAAATCGAGACCGAGGCCGATGCGCTCGAGGAAGAGGCCGAGGCCAAGCGCCTCCAGCAGAAGAAGCTGGCTAAGATGTCCGAGGAGGATTTTCTGTTCGACGAGGGCGAATGGCTGGCAGCCGCCGAGGAGGACGAAGAGGACCAGGACGTTGTCACAGAGGTTCTCAAGGACGTCGAGATCACGGACGACATGGGTCCCGAGCAGCGCACAAAGATCCTCCAGAGCAGATACCCCGAGTTCGAGCACTTGGTGAACGAGTTCCAGACCCTGCAACCGCAACTGGCCATCCTGCAGAAAGACGCCCACGGCAAGTCGAGCCAATCGCTCGAGGCCGTAAAGTACTGGATCCTCGGCTGCTACGTCGCCGCACTGGCAAGTTACTTTGCCATCCTCACATCCCCGGCACGCGACGGTTCAACAGCCCAAAAGACGCTCGACCCCGCCGAACTCCGCGATCACGACGTCATGGAGACGCTGCTGGAGTGTCGCGACGCGTGGCAGCAGGTCAAGAACGCTGCGCCAGTACGGCCCGACGACTCGATGGAGGTATCCTCCGCCGATGAGGACATCAGCGCCGCCCCCGCCGGCGATGCAGACGAAGATGCCTTCGCCGCGGCGAAAGAGGAGATCAGGAGACAGCGGAGACTCGAGAAGGCGGCCA